ATATCTCAATTTCACTCTTATTCCCAACATCATACATAGTGAACTCATGAGCATCTCCATCATCTTTGAATGGTTTCAGATCTGCTTCAAGGGATCCTTCATCATGTTTCCACAACATCTTAACCGTCTTAAAATCAAATGCAGGGTCAATACTTTTCACTAAGTTACAAGTTTCAAAGAATGACCAATAATCTGAATCTTGGCTATTAAAGGCATACACTTCCCCACCATCATATTTTAGGTTGGGTCTTTTACGAAACAACCCCTTGTGTAGAAAACTACCTTAAATGTTGCCATATCATGTACGGTTAATAGATCCAAGTTTAATCAGAACAAGAAAATATAGTAGAATCTACACTAATAATATGGTTTCAATAGAAATTAGGGCAAGTGAATATAGTAAAAATTAGGGCAATAGAATACAGTAGAATCTTTGTCCTATACTAATTAATGTTTGTTAATCTACCACTTGAATTATAAAATTAAACAAAAAAGGATGAACAAGAGTACATACTTGGGACCACGCAGATGAAATTAGGGAACAAGGTCCACGTGATTGATCAGTTTGGGACCACAAAGTGGAAGCTTTGATATTGGGACCACAAGAAACAGATTGGAGAGACAAAGTTCGATTTAGAGTTTTTTGGTCGGGCGATTCAAACAACTTGCAGAGTGAACAAAGAGAGAGAGTGTAGATGGTAAAATGTTAAAGATAAAGACTCCACACTAGTGTTTCAGTAAAAAAAGTCCACGTTTCAACAAAAACTTGGGACACGTCAGCCTCCGTTAGTGGAATCTAACGGAGGGACTAATTATGGTGACAAAATATTTTGTGAGGACTAAGAAATCATTGGTTTAAAAGATCTTAAGAACCCATGTTTGTTTTTAAACTTAAGAAATCATTGTACGATCTAAAATAAGCTCCTAGAGCTTGGTATGGGAGGTTAAGCAATTTTATTTTAGAAAATGACTTCACCAGAGTAAAGGTTGATACCACCTTATTTTGTAAATCCTTCGAAAATGATATTCTAGTGATTTAAATATATGTTGATAATATTATATTTGGTTCTTCTAATTCCACTTTGTGCGAGGAGTTTGCTAAGTCTATACAGTTTGAGTTTGAGATGAGCTTAATGGGATAACTCAAGTTCTTTCTAGGGATACAGATAAATCAAGGATCAGAAGAAACTCTCATTCATCAGAGAAAGTGTACCAAAGAACATTTGAAGAAGTTCAATTTGTTTGAATGCAAGATAGCCAAGACTTCTATGCATCCTACTTACGTTCTGGAGAAGGACGAGGTAAGTGGTAAGGTTGATCAGAAGTTGTACAAAGGTATGATAGGCTCTCTATTATATTTAACTGCTTCTAGACCTGATATTGTATTCATTATATGCTTGTGTGCTCGCTTCTAATCAGATCTCAAAGAATCTCACTTGACATCGTCAAAAGGATTTCTAGGTATCTGAAAGCTACTACTAACCTTGGTTTGTGTTATAGAAAATCAAGTGAATACAAGTTAGTAGGTTATTGTGATGTTGATTATGCTGGTGATAGACTTGAGAGGAAAAGTACGTCTGGAAGCTGTCAGTTTCTGAGGGAGAACTCAATCTTATGGTCCAGCAAGAGGCAATTTACACTCGTGCTCTGAACTGCATAAGCCAAATACATATCTGCTTGTGGATGTAGTAAACGGGTCCTCTGGATGAAGAGTCAGATGGAAGACTATCAAATATTTAAGGGTAATATTCATGTCTTCTGTGACAATATTTCTAATATCTGTTTGTCCAAAAATCCAATTTTACATTCTAGGGCTAAGCATATTGAGATCAAACATCACTTATTAGAGACTATGTTCAGAAGGGATTTTTTTATTTAAAATTTGTTTATAGAGAACATCACTTCACGCTTTACCCCCTGTCAAATATTTTTACCTTTTTCTGGATCAGACATTAATTGTTTTGTGTGTCTCGAGAATGATAATCCTCTGATCTAAATCATTTCTCCTGTTAGTCAAGTTTGTTTTCTCCTATTTATACTACTTCAATATGTTATCTTTCTTCTTTCCTTCTATTTCATCTTAACAAATTCCTTTCTCCATCCTTCTTTCATTTTTTAGTCATCATGTCTTCAAAAAACTTTCTGCGGAAATGAGGATATTCTGGAGTTCATCAATGAGGAGTTGTGGCAGTAGAAATGTTGGGACTAAGCTATTGAGTTGATTTAACTCACACAAATCAAATAAAAATCACCAACACACTTTATTGTTTCCAGAGGAATGGGAAAAGAGCGAATAAACCCAAAAAGAGGGGAGAGAATCTAGGTGCGGGGGTTGGTTATGCAAAGGGATGGTATTAGCACCCTAAACACCTACAGTACTACGCATGAACCTCTTTGAAAATTTGTGTATTTTAGCTATAAATGGTATATACAAAAATAGATGGTGGAGATGAGAAAAGAAGTATTTTTTTTTACAATTTTTGCACCTTCCGCGGTTGTGAACCTTTAGTGCCCACATACCTCCTTCTATGAAATACAGGATTAGGGCACTCGTAGTTCACCTTAAAAAAATTTAAAACACAAGTGTGTTGGTTAGTTTTAAGAGACGAGACATCATCGTCATATCCGAGTGGAAAACATACTTACTACCCACGACTATGAGAAAGGGAATTTGCATCATCTCAAAATGGAGGATATAACTTGGATTTTAAAATCAATAAAGCCTCACTCAAAACCCAAGTGGAAAATATCCCACTTCACTATATATCATAGAAGTTAGTAGCTCGCATCACTACAAGAATCGACACGAGTCTAATCTTTTGAGAAAGAGTTTTAAAGTAAAAAAAGCCAAAGTGGAAAAATGATTTGAATGAGTTTGATTGACTTTTAGTCTTCTTACACAAAAAATGTCAAAGTATGATTAAGTTGGTTAAAGTTTGATTAAGAAAATATTTTTAAAAATGCATGGACCTAAGTCCAAGTTTATCATGAAAGTGGTTCAAGTTAGAAAACAAGAAGAGTTTTGAAAAGGAGAGAGAAGATTTTAAAATTAAAGAAGATGGGAGGAGATGAAGGGACTATCCTAAATCACAAGGTAAAATCTAAGGAAAAGAACCATCTAACCAACAAGAACCTAACACTTGACATAAATAAGTCAATATAGAATTCTCATCCTTTGGATTGAAACCAAACAAGCAAATATACTAACCCTCTTATGAATACCAAGCTTCAGATGAATTAAGTCTTCACAAAAATTGGACAGAGTAATATATATATATACATAGAATTTCTCAATCACAGACAAAACGCATAATCAGAATAACCTGTACACGAAGAAAAACAACTCAATGTCTTGGAGTAAACCCCAAGAACTCTAGACAAAATAACAACGGAGTCAGAAAGTACCAAGGGTGACCAAGGCTTATAATCCTAAGTCCAAGAGGTCCATAACTCCATAATGCCAAGGATTGTAACCAAATAGTCCAAGTAACCTTAAGGTTTTTTAATGTTCAAGTTAGTTATTAAGTGTTTATAAGGTAAGCACATATGATCACCAATGTTTAAATGATTTACTTAGACCAAAGTTTATAAAATTTCATTAGAGGATTGATAAGATCAAAGCCTCCTAACAATGAACCTCAAGGTTATTGGATCAAAGGTTTTAAATTAACATGCTTGGGCTTCCAAACATAGGTTTGGGCCACGAATGCTCATTTCTCGAATCGGGACAAATTTAGCGATATGTTAAGCAATTGTAAGTGAACTTATGTAGAAGTCACACCTATTTTGAAGCCGGTCAATAGCAATCTATGTACCACATGTTAGAGAAATTATATGTAAATTATTCTCCAACAACGTGTAGCACAAGTAAGAAAGGGATAAGTTGAAGAGGGAGGGGATGTATCAGATGAAATTAGGGTTTCAAATATAATTAACATCATTCATCCATTTTGGTGGATTTGGTTTTTCAACCTATCAACACCCAAGTTCCAATGAGATTGAGGAATTTGTCCCAAAATAACACCCAAGTCAGGACCAATCAAAAATAATAAAATAATATTCAATAAAACAATACTTAAATGATTAATAAAAGAGAAATAATTGGTAAAATACACAAATCATATTAAAACACCAAATAAAAATCCTAAAAAATTAGTCAGAGGTCAAACATGAGTCAATAAGTGTTGAGATAAATTTCCAGAATCGATTAAGAGGGAAAATTGATTTGGGTATGAAGATGGTTTTATGATCTCGAGAGGAAAAAGGGATTGGATCTAAGTTCCAAATTCTCTTCATTTTATAGACTTTCAATGTGATTTTTCAGAAGAAAAATCGGTCGAATGAATCTTGGGAAAGGGTGGATGCACTTGAATATTGTGTGCCTTCTCAATGAGAAGTTCAAAAAATTTCGACGATTTTCTCTGTTTTCAAGCAATAACATGTCTATTATAAATACAAGAAATCTTTACATTTAATTAATTATTGAATAAGATAAAATAACATACAACAAAAATTCTAGTGTTGTCACATCAACAATGTCAAATAAATATAAAGATAACAAAATTTAAAAAATTAATTACTCCTTATAATTAGATTAACTATTACTTTTAATTATATAGATTATAGTGTCATTATCAGATACTTTATATTTATATATTTATAATTTATAATAAATGATAGATAACAGATTATTTTCTCATTAAAAAATCTCAAAAACATAAATGAAATAAAAAACAACTTTAAAATGTGCTATTAAATAAAATCAAAGAGTATATTTTAAACATGAGGATTAAATACTCAATGATTTTACTCTTGTCCAATGGGAACCCATCTAAATTACATTAAATGGTCGCGTGCAACATTTTGACTACATTGAATTTACCCACAAAAAGAAAACCCTCTAAATTGTAACATTGTATTTCCCTCATTATTGGCGTTGTTATTGTGCGTAGCAAAAATCGAAGGTCGTTATTCCCAGCTATAGCGGTTTTGTTACAGTAATGGATTCTTTAGAGTTAGGGAACACCGATTCTTGGGATTTCCTCGATTACTCATTCATCGACCCTCCCCCCACCGATTTCCTCTGGTCCAATCCAAGGTTTCCCCTTAATTCATTATTTTAATCTCAGCTTTCCGCTTTTTCGATTCACTTTTTTTTTGGGGGAAAATTAGTGTTGCATGGTTGGATCAATGTTTTGTTGATGGTGATTTGTATAATTGATTGTTAATTGGAATTGTTCTAATTCATTTTCATTTTTTTGTAAATTGTTGTTTTGAATTTGTTGTTGATTTTCTGCCTTACACTGAAATTTTAGGGTTTGCTTACTTTGAGAAAACGGTTTTTGTTTTTGTTTTCATTTTCTGTTTTTTTTTTTTTTACTTTGAATTGATAAACTGTTTGTTTGTGGTTTTCACTTTCTTGTTTCTGAAGATTTGATTGATGATTGTAGCAGAACAGATACTGTAGTTGTTGGTTATGTTTTGTGTGGTGAAATATGCCTGATATGATTTGTTTTTGGCAGTGATTTTGCGAGTGTGAACACGGAAATTGACATTCGAAGCAGTGATTTTGCAAGTGTGAGTGCGGAAATTGATATTCCAAGTGGTGTTGTTGTGTGTCAAGAAGAGAATACCAGGAAGAGGTATCTTTATGTGTTACGTATGAAGTGATTTAATTATCTGAAAATGTGAGGATCGAATAATTACTGTCTTTTAAGTTATGATTTTGATTCTATGTAACCTCCAGTGCTGTCAAATAGCAGCTCTGTATTGTATCCTAGTAGAATTTGAACTAATCGCTATTGTTCCACTATACGCGCCATTTAAGTTTTGTCAAATACCCGCTATAGCATTCATGGTTTTTAAATTGCTGTTGCGGCTGCGGATGCGGTTGCAGTTGCAGTTGCGTGTGTTGCGATTGCGGTCATTGCAGTTGTTGCAACATACATTGCGTCGTGAGTTTTTATTGGGTGGTTCTTGAAATACACAGTTGAAAAACACTCAAAGATAAGCTTTTTCATAGATCAGAAGAAAATTGAGTTTTGGAGTTCTGAAATTTTGAGTTTAGATTAAAATACTTAAACAAACATAAGTAAAATTGTCTGATACAGTTTAAAATGCGATCACACGCTTCTTTGAGAATCACAATGCAACTGCAGTCCGATGCGGTTGCGGAGGCAACCACATCAACAATATGGCGGTTGCAATTGCGGTTGCGGAGTGCAATTTAAAACCATGATAACAATACTATAAATCATTAAAGCGTAGCAGAATTTGAACGAACCTCTATTTTCCACAATTGCGATTGACCAAATCTGCGTTCTGTCATTTATATACAAAATGTATTTACATTAGTTATCAAGAAAATCTAAACTTCAAACGACACATGATGATATTAGATGAATCTGGTGGTTTCTCAATTATCTTATCTATTTGCAGGTTATTCCTCATAAATGGGTTGAATACCTTTTTTTGTTGATTTTATGTAGGTCTAATGGTGCAATCTTTTGAATTAATTTACAGTTTAGTTTTTGTGATAAATTTCCTTCTAATCATTTGTAGGGGACGCGCTGAATCATGCCACAAGGCAGGAACAAAAGCTTGCCGTGAGAAATTGCGGAGAGAAAAACTCAATGAAAGGTAGGAGTGCTCCTAATTATTAAACTTATTGTGGATATCAAAATTAGTCATTTAGATGCTGCCTTCTTTTTTAGCTTTTGCTGAGCGCCATTTTTTCTACCTTTGTGTACATACTATTGCCATTAATTTCCGGTTTCTTGTTGCTTCACAAATTTAGGTCACGTTTTATAGTCTCTTCAGACTTGAGTTAGTTGCATGTGTTTGATACTATGATGTATCAAATTTATGACTTTGCCTTTGAAGATAGTTGTTAACAATGTTAAGTACCAATAGTGACCAAATGTATGCATTTTTTGTCTCTGAAAGGATGCGAATATGATCTTTATGAGCATAATATGGACTTCCATAAACTGCCAACTTTATCATTTATATGATATGATTATAGCTTTCTGTTTTTAAGTCATTAATGATCTTAGAACCTTCTCAGTCTTTGTACTGTGTTTTGCTTATGTCACTGTAATTATTTGCCGCAGGTTTTGTGATTTGAGTGCTGTTTTGGATCCCGGGAGACCTGTGAGAACCGATAAGCCTGCTATACTTGACGATGCTATCAGAGTCTTGAACCAACTTAAAACTGAAGCTGAGGAACTCAAAGAAACAAATGAAAAACTGTTGGAGGAAATAAAATGTTTAAAGGTTAGTATTTTTTCAACTACTGATAGTAGTGACTGTTATCAGTATTTCATTTCTCTTATCCATTGAAACGTGTCTTCTTTACCTACCTCATGAAATCTCCCTCTACGATGATGGAAAAAGAATTGATTTTTGTTTGACTGCAACTGTTAGAATCTGCCTGTCTATGAAATAGATACATCAACAAGGACATTGCAATCAATGCTTGAGTGTTTGAGTGTAAGATTATGTAAATTTTTTTCCTTATCCATGACAGGCAGAGAAAAATGAACTTCGCGAAGAGAAGCTTGTTCTGAAAGCTGATAAAGAAAAGATGGAGAAACAGCTGAAAACTTTGCCTATTCCACCAGCAGGATTTATGCCTCCTCCTCCTATGGCTGCTTATCAAGCACGGGTGAACAAGATGGCTGTTTACCCAAACTATGGATATATCCCAATGTGGCAATATCTTCCTCAATCAGTTCGCGATACATCCCAAGATCATGAGCTCAGGCCTCCTGCTGCATAGTTGCTTTGCTTCTGTTACTTTCCTTTGGTTAATTTTTCATTCACCATTTTGATAACACTATCCAAGTATTGACATGTAAATTGCCATTGGTTCAAATTTTCAGGTCTTTATATGATAAATTAGGCTTACCATTACCAATCTATGTTAGTCCAAGTGTCAAATAGATCTCTCCTTTAATAATCTCAGTTTTTTTTTTTTAATAAACTTAAGGGCAAATTAGTTTCTTCTATGCTTTTATTTGGAACAGTTAAGAATAAAAGGAATAAAAAGAAAGGTGGTTTCCCATCATGGAAAAAATTATGTTGCAAATGCATTTTCATTATCAACCACTTGCTTTTGTTGGATGCATTATTCCATATATTTTAGTGTAAATCATTTCGGTATATGATTGGTTTAAAGCATATTGTTACTGCTGAATGATGCTCACTTACCATATTATACGGTGACAAAATAGATGATAGAATAAATTTATATTTGGAAGTTAATTGATAGATCAATATAATCTATTAATTAATTACATTCTTTTTCAAATTCTTTAAAAATAACTAATATATCTACTAATCATAAGAATGATCCAATTTTTCTATTAATATATTTTTGAATCATCAAGCTGGTCTCTACGCGTCGGATTGATTAGCGAGTTCTTGTTATATTAGGACTTGCTCATCAATACCTGTATCTTTGAATTTGTTCGTCTTTGTGTGCTATTGGCATCAAATGTGTCTATTAAACTATGTAGTTTCAACCAGAGTTTCCTCGCCACTAGCTCTGATTGGGAAAAGTTAGTGTCATTCTTCAGCGCCATTCTTCAGCACCATTAGGAATCCTCATCGGCCAAAGGTAAAGTTCTTGTCTCTATCCCTGGTTTGTCCTAGTTCGTGGTAAACGTCTCTTGGCTCCACAACATACGCTATTGGAGTGACTAGTTTCTAAAAGGGAGGTGCGCTAGCTATGCTTGAAGCATGTTCATCAAGTGAGGAATCTGCTTCAGAAGAGTGATTTACACCAACCTGCCTAGAGGGAGTTATAAGACCCTTTGTGAATATCTTGCTTATCTATGACCGTAAAGTTCTGATCGACTCTAGATGACTGTCCTCGACTGTCTCTTATGAATAGTCGACTGAGTTGTATTTCCTTCCATTTCTTTACTTTTGGGTTGACGTCGGCTTCCTTTTGTTTCTTTACTTTGTGGTTGACGTCGAGTTCCACAAAATCATTATTGGATCAAGGATTAATATGCAGAGCATCATGAGGACGTCTCAAATGGTGTCCTTACATGAACACACAAGAAACTTGGGGGCACCTTTCTCTCGCTTGCTCTTTTCGATTACGAATGCGGACTCTATTATACTGAAAGAGCAAGCTATCAAATTATTGAATGTTAATGGATCTCAGCCATCACATGTATCCATATCTGATTTTCGAATATTTGACCGCTCGACTGTGTTAGATTGAAAGTTCTTATGGAAAATCCATTGTTTACAAGTTATCTCATGTGCGTTTCGCCAGCGAAAAAGACTGCAAAAACCACTAGTAATTATGCATTCGAGGTTCTCACAGTCTTATCGCTTCTCGAACAACCTAGTGCACCTCAATCCATGTTTTGTAGTTTTATATCACATGTCGTTTGGGAGAGGTGTTCCAATGATTGATCGCCGAAATTTTTTGCGGCGTTGTGGATCTTAGTGGGATGATCGATACGACAAACTAAAATAAAAAAAGTTTAACGGATCTCCTCATCACAATGTGATAGTTGATTATCTCCTTCTCTCGGTTTCAGTTAAGATTTGGATATTTGGATCAAGAATGATCCACTTGTCAAATAGTGCATGAATTAGGAGTCAATTCCCACATACGACGCAATTGATTCGTTTGAGAACTAGAATTGATGTATATCGATGGTGAGGAATCCTCAATCAGTGGTGCGGATCTCCAGTACGAAAGCGCTAGGTGGACTTGCAAGGTCAAAACTCCAATGTCCAATTCAGTTTAGAATTCAAGATGAATATAGTAAAAATGGAGATTAGAAAAGTGTACCTTTAATCTCATGAATGAATGCTTTTATATGTTGGATCATTTTAAAGTGGATTGATCTTGTATTTGGTCTTGACTTTCTGAGCTTTTGACTTACCCATATACATATATATGCGCACGCGCGCACACACACACACACAAATATATATATATATATATATATATATATATATATATATATATATATATATATATATATATATATATATATATTCTTAATTAAAATTGTTCTGGGTCGACCACATGGAACCCCGACCGATCACTCAAAAGGAGTTGCGATCCCTTTAGAACCTTATCAGAGCACGAGCACTAATCTGCAGATAAGTATAAAAGTACATCCAAGGAGTCTCTGCAATTCCCTCATAACAAATAGCAGGTTGTTATTTCCTTTCCACTATATATAGAGAGCGCGCCAGTTTAGGTACTCATTTTCAAATTCAACTTCAATTCACTATTCTCCCGCACATACTGGCTTGAGAGTTGAACTACTAATCTTACAAGTAAGCCCCCTCTCCACCTTATCGGAAGATCAAATCCGTCATTATCTCCGATCCTTACTCCATTTATGGTTCCATAAAGGAACAATGGCTCAGTTTGTGGAAATTGACTCATGATTCCCACGTTTTCACAATTCCACATTTGATCTTCAATTTGTTAGTTCGAAACCTTTTCAGGTCATCGATCAAGAGATCTTGAAATAAAACACAAAGATATGTCATGTTCGATCAAATTAAGTAATATCTTAACTTTAATCTCTTGAAATTCCTGATCTCTGATTCCTATTATTTCCGGTGATAGTTGGATCCAAAGCTTCTCGTATCGTCGCAACATAAGAAGTCGTGTCGCTTCCACAACTCAAGAATTGATATGTAAACAACCTCTAGCTCCTCTATAAGGCATTATGAATCTAGGAGCAGAGGTCCCGTTACATTCAAATATGTTCCAAGCTCCTCATAGAGTTGGATATGTCCAAGTGTGTGTGATTGGACTTTTGGTTCCACCGCGAGTTTCACATGAAGCCTTACCTGGTTTCCAATTATTGTGAGCTAACCTTGGGTTAAAAGGTATCAATGAATTGCTGAACAATGTGTAAAATATTGTTTGGCAAGCAATAGAGGAAAGGTTGAAGCTCTATTGAAGCTCTATATAAAAGATAACTCAAACCTCTATTCCTGAGGCGACCACAATAAAGAAAGTTGAAGCTCTAAAGTTGAAGAATTAACAAAGGGGTAAGAAGCACTATACTCCTCTCCAAATCCCCGAGTCTAAGTTCAGAGTGAGCCTAAGAAGAGGAGGTTAAATTAGGACCTTAAAAATTTATCTGATTTTAGAAATAAGTTGTTCTTATTTTTTTGGTTTGGTGAAGGAGTTTAGAAATGTGATTCTTTCTTTTCTGGTTATAATTTAAGATGAAAGCGATAAATGCGGAAAATTAAAGAACACAAGGATATATCCTGGTTCTCCTTACAGACCGAAGGTACGTCCAATCCTCTTTTAACACGAAAGAGATTTCACTATTGTTAGATCTTTGTACAAGCATTATATCAAAACTTCTCCTACAATCTTCTAACAAAAAAAAACCACCAAAAAAATCCTCTTGGATCAACCAAATTGAAATGAGAACAATCCTCTCACTTTCAACCTCTTTCTTCCAACAATTTCGGACAAAAAGATACAACCAAACAAGTAGAGCAAGAAAACAATTTTTTCCTTTCTACTCTCTTGTTTCTAATAATCCTGGAAAGCAAGGTATTACAAATCAAATTTGGAAATTATTTGAGCAATAAAGTTTATGAATATGTATCAATCACTAAGATTGATCTTCTCTTCCAAACAAGAAATTTAAAAAGATATTATAGTGCTCAAGTATTTATGAATGATAGAGGAATTTTTCCAGACTTATATGAAGAACACATGCAAACAAATTCTCAATGAAATTTGAAGTATCAAAACACTTGTTTGAAAATTGAATTAATATAATGATGTTAAATTTCAATGGAAGAGATAAGATTTGAATTCTTAAAATAAGAGCATATATAACACATTAACACCTCTATGAAAGTGTAAGATTCAATGAAGAGAGAAAATGTTTAAGAAATGGTATTTGAAAAAAGTTCAGTTCAAAAAAAAGACTGAAAATGCTACTGCCAACTTAGGAAACTGATTTCTGAATATGGGGTAATCGATTTCCTTTGAAACGTTGCAACTGAAAATTCAAATTTTCGTGAAGGAAATCGATTTCTGAAATAGGGGTAATCAATTTCCATTCCTAAAAAATGTTTTTCTAGAAATTCAAAATTTAGTGAAGGAAATCGATTTCTGAAATAGGGGTAATCAGTTTCCATGCCTAAAAACTATTTTCTGGAAATTCAAAATTTTGTGAAGGAAATCAATTTCTAAAATAGGGGTAATTGATTTCCTGAACTGAAAATTGAAAAATTATTTGTTTTAAAGGCAGTAATAGTTTGCAATGCAACTTCTTTAGACCATGCATGCAAGTGAATATTTAGGAGTATTTTGAGCACAAAGTTATTAATATATACCTCAATAAATTAAGATCAATGCTAGTCTTCATAAAGTTGCAATCTTGATCCATAACCATTTTGGTCATGTTGCTTTTTCTCATCCTTTGATATATGTACATAGTAGTTGTCTTCATTAAAAAATAATGTTGAAGAAGCTTGACTCCACAATCTCCTCCTTTTTGATGATTACAACTATTGAAAGTTGAGATGCTTGAATCTTTTAGAACAAACGAGAATCTCTTATGTGAATTCTTCCCCTGTTTTTTATAACTCCCCCTTGATCAAAACTCTCCCTTGATTTAGAGAATTTTTACATCTTTTTGAGCTGCAATTGTTAGAGACAAGCATACACATACTGTTGTACCCCCAATTTTTGCCCCTAAGATTCCTCTATCATCTCATATCAACTCAATCACAACAAGATCACACTAGGGTTTGGTT